CTATAGTTAAAGACATTACCCTTTTTCCGATTTATTCTAAACCTTTTTTTGTTTCATCTCAGCTCTAATTTTTATTAGCTTCATTTAAATATTCTCATCACTAATCATTAGATACAGCATCCCGTCCCTGTTCGCGCTGTTCATAATCTTGAGTCCTCCGATTCATCTACCTTCGGCTTGACTCTGAGCGGTCACCCCTCAGAGGCCACATCCACCTTCAAAATTTCGAACGTTGCAGAACACGATGTTTTATGGCCGACTAATTTCAACTCAACTTGCCCTGAATTTTTCACCGAGGCCCCTGCTTCTACTGCAATTATGCCTCTTCCTAATACTACTTCTCCCACTTCACATGCAAAGTCTCTACTCCCTGGAGCAACGTTGCCACCGCCTTCTCTGGACCAGCCTCCAAATCTATCTCCTGTGATTCAGTCCCTACAAGCGCCCCCAACTCCACCCCCTAGAGTTCATTGGCCTAATATAATACATTCCTCGGTAATTTTTATTTCAAGTATACCTAATAGATTCTCCTATTGCTTTAGGCGACGCTCAATATTCACTATTGGATACCCTAGCGATGTTGCTATTCGAGTAAAATATCTCATTTTCTTTGTCAGAAATAAGACTGGCATTTAAACTGCATTTACTGGGTTACTACATGAACTGGCCAATATGAGTTTAAGTATTTAGTGTTTGGATTGCCAAATCCTATCAAATTTAGATTAGATGACTTCATGATAGGGGACAGTTTTTAATTTCCTTGAAATTTCCGGAAAGAATCAACTTGATCCCGAAACATTTTTACTTGCACCTTATCCTTTACTATGTACCTTATGTATAGATATTCAAATAACTTGAAATGCTTATTCTCAATTCTCACGAAAGATAATAGATATGAACAAATTAAATTAATACTTGGTTTTTATATCCTTTGAAAACTATGCCTTATTTGTTATGGCATATTGACAAAAAGAACGTAACAATCTATCTTGTGTTTTCAATGCAGGAGTTGTACTTGTGATAATGGGTAGGTAATTATTAGATATTCTAAGTCGCATTCAAACTTGGAATTTTCACTAGAAGAGAAGCCTTGAAATTTACTTTGCAATCTTATTTAGCAATTAGACCAATGAATACCCCTTACTATATTTACGAGAATTACTCAGATGACAATTATGCTATTTTATAGGTCTGTCGCCTTGTATTTATGATGTGATAAGTCTCCAAAGGTGTTG